TATCATATTAATTATTTTATTAATTATAAATAACTTTTAATAATTAAATTAAATAAAATTCAATACCTTCAAAATATATTAAATAGCGCGTGACTATTTCCACAGCAGCCTGCAATCCGACCTAATTGACGGAGTTTATCGGCCTCCAACTCCCTTGACGGTAAAATGACTAAAGAAGGCACCTCTTACGCTCAAAATTACGTAACTACCTCCATCTCAATATATTCACATCAGCAGACATTTTAATTTATGATTCATGTTAGTTTAAATGCTCCAAAAGGATGTGACTTAGAGGTTTTAATTTTTCTTTTTTACAATCACTAAATAAAAAACAAAGAGAGAAGAGAAAAAAAACTTGCATAATTGATTTTATAAAACTTTAGTTCAATTACTTGGCACTTATTCATTCATTTCGGTTTTATTTATTAAGAATTTTTTTCACATTCTTTATTAATACTTAAAAGTAGTTTAAAAGAAATACTTAATGTACTTTTTACTCAAACACTTCCTTTTTTTAAAACATTCCAATAAATCTCACTTGAATTCTTATTTGAAGGTTTTACTCACCCTCAAGTATTTTTTCTTAGAGCTTTATTGACTTTTAAGATCACAAAGAAAGAAAAATTACAAATATAAACTCAAACTCTCAAAAAAATTTGCAAATTTAAACTCAATTCTTATTTTTAATATTTTAATGTGTCTAAAAGTTCTTTAAAATATTTATCAATAATGTTTATAAAATTAAGATCAAAATTAGTCGTTTATTACCTTTGAAATCCATTTAATGCGTTGTATATAAATCTAGGTTTGAGAAAACATGCTGCAAATTTTGATTGTTATACTGGTTGCACTTTTATAGCTGGTTCTACATAACTAGCTCCACATAACTAGTTATCAATATTTGACTTAAACATTCTATTTTTCTGTTGAGTTAGTTATAAGATCTAAAGCCACTTTAGAAATTTATGTTTGAAAATTTTTTTTAAAAAAAAACTATAAAATTTTTTATTGTTGGGCGTTAAATACTCCATCACAGTTGATTACCGAATCAAAATTGGCTTTACATCTATTTCCCATGCGTGCAATGTTGTAGGTTTGAACTTTGGAATGGTAGAACCGGCTCCCAAAGCCAAAGCTGCCTATTTGCATTTTTCCACACCATGTTTAGCATTTTTTGTTCTCTTTCAACGCAATCCAATTCCATTCACTTCTTTCATCTTTTATTATATAAATTACACATTTAGGTAAATAAATTAATAATTTAAGTGTGTATTTTGTAATTATCAAAATTATAGGTACAATAATTTATACTTAAATAAAAAATTAAAAATTTATGATTTGTACCAAAAATTAAAAATATAAGTCCATGAATCATGATATTTCTCTTTTTTAAAAGTTTAGGGTGTGAAAATATTATTTTAGATCTAAATATCA